CGATGCATACAACCTGTACGTCACAAAATGGTGGGAACAAGGCCGCACGGACCCAGACCAAATTATCCACGACACGACCAACCCAGTCGCAGGCAACACTCACGACTTAGCTCTCAACACGTTCATGGACGACATCACTTATGTGCAGACAATCCTACCCGCAGCGACGGCTGGAGATATCGAACAACAACTCAACAACAATACTGAACGCCTTTCCCAAACAATTGCAGCAGGAGGATGGGGACTTAACAATGCCAAGACCAACCACCTATTATACCTAGTTGGGCAAGGCTGTTACGGGAAAACCAGGCAACTCAGACGCAGCAAAACACTGAAGGGTCAGGCGCTAAGGGAGATGCGTGTACTTGGCCCCTACCTACCAGCTGGCCAGGGCATCGCAGGCGAGGTGGTGCGGCGCATCGCAGCCATCCGCGTTGCATGGCGACAGTGCGGGATCTTCTGGACCTCTAAGGTACCCCGACATATAAAACGCATGATGTTCATGGCTTTCGTTGTAGGTGCGGCCCTTAGCGGATTGCCTGCGCTAGTTCTGACAGATACCCACACAACAGCAATCGACAGCGTACTAGGCAAGTACCTACGGACGCTAGCGGGAGGAGCAATGTCGTGGACCAGAGCAGATGGTACAGTGAGGTGCAACAATTTGCGACAGGTGTTTAGATACTGGAGACTCGAGCGCACATCCGTATCTTTGCTTGTGCGACGCTTACGATGGTACCAGAACTGGTCAAGGCACCCTTGGGAGCACGGAGCAGTCGTCGCAGCGGTGTTTGGAACATCCAGACTAGACGCGGCTCAGGGCATACAGCGACTAGAAGGGCAGGGATTCGTGGGGCCCTCCTCCACCCCGTGGGCACAGCAGTTTGCAGCCGACATGCAGGTGATAGCAAATGTGGACGAGCGCATGGGATGGTATGCAGACAGGGAATCCGACCTCGCCATATTCGAACAGGGGAGTGCGGAACAAAACAACTGGTTACAAACAGACCCATCAATATTGTACAGTTACGAGCGAAATTGGGATGTGCTTACGACACGAGATACGACGCTACAGGAGGAGGAGGGCAGGGAGGAGGAGACATTAAAACCTTACTGGTGCGATCATACGACGAAGGGCGAATGCGACACGGAACAGAGGTGTGGCATGCGCTTTGCGACATACGCAGCACTAGCTGGGCATCGCCGAGAGACCCACAACATTCGACCAGTGGTGGCGTCCGTAATCGTCAACAACCAGTGCCCCTGGTGCAAGAGCACATTTATTAATCGTAAGGTATGTGTCGACCACGCGGTCAGGGCTGTACGCGGCCACGGTATTTGCCACCAAGATAGGTCGATGTGGTCCCACCCCATTTCCGACCCCAGCTCTCTTACCTGCCAGATCTGTAACCACGAGGCTCAAACTCTTGAGGAGTATCACGCACACATACGAGAGCACATAGCAGGGCCAGAGTCGATCAGAGCAGCACGGGGAGAAGGAGCACATGTCGCACGGGGGCCACGGCGACTGGCGCATCAGGGCCAGCACGAAGAGAGGTGGGGGCGCAGCCGAAGGGCAGCGGCCAGCACAGCGCCCACACCTCGGCGGAGGCGGAGTCGGCTCGTCAGACACACAGCAGTCGCAGCAGACGCCGCAGCAGCCGCCCCCCCACACAGCGCCGAGGAGGAGGCGGTCGAGGACCCCCAGGAGGAGGCCGTGGTGGTGGAGGAGGCGGCCAGGTGGAGCTTCGGGACCAGCTGAGATCGCTCCAGAGGCTCACCCTCCAGAACTCGAACGAGATCCGCAATTTCTTGCATCTCACGGGAGAGTTCTGGCTGACGCCGCTCGAGCCAGAATGGGTGCAGGCGCCGATGGAGACAGGCAGAGAGTACGGACGGAAGATGAAGCAGCTGGGCAAGGGGCACGGCCTCGGCCCACCGCACGGCCAGGTGGCGGCGAGCCTGGTCGAGGAGATCGTGGCGGTGCTCGACTCAGAGGAGCAGAAGCTCGACGCGCCCCTCCTCCACGTGAGGCAGCTCCTGAAAGAGTTCATGAGCCAGCTCGACGAACCCTGGGGACCAATCTTCATCACGGAGGTCTTCTTGCAGTGCAAGATCCAGGAGGCGTACAACAAGACGGGCGAAGACGTGGAGATGGACATCAAGCAGTGCAAGGCCAAGCTCATCTACACGATCAACACGGCGCCGAGCTTCAGGGCGGTGCTGTACGACCAGAAGCTCGAGCAGGAACAGTACGACAAGATCTCGGGCTTCAAGGGGGACATATTCAAGCAGGCACTGGGCCACGCGCTGGCGCACCTCGGGGCCACGAAGAGCCGTTCAGGGGGCCCGAAGACGGGCCTGGAGAGGGCCGTGGAGGCGCAGCTCAACAGGAGGTGAGCCTAGGCACGCCCCAGCCTAAGCCCAGCAGCTCGCCCCGCCGCGAGCGAGAGAGCCCCGCGGGCCAGTCCCTACCAGGCCCGCAGCCCAGCGGAGCCAGCAGCTCGTTGTCGAGCAGCGCTTTCGGGTCACGCCTCAACTCCACGGGGCGCCCTCGTGCCTGGCCACCATCATCACCGCCAGTGACTCGAGAGGAAAAAATTGCACAGCAGATCAGTGCAGACCTTGTTCGTATGACGAGTCTCAGGAGCCAGGCCGAACAACACGGAGGCCAGATGGCCTACCTGTATCGGATGGCTACATACTATCGGGACCTACGACCAAGGGACTATTACCAGCCTATGGCAAAAAAATGAGGGGGATGGCGGACCTTCTACTTATCCAGCCGTCACCCTACTATTACACGGGCTCCCACCACCTACGCCCCCTCCTCCCACCAACTCCCACTTCCAACCTACCATCTTTCTCTCAGGCAATCAGCTCTCTACTAGTTCCACTCGCAGTCGGGGCTTGTCTGTCATACAGTATCGCGGATGCACGCTCGGAGCCGACGTATCTGCGACCTCGTACCGGACAGTATACAGAACGACAGAACATGCTACAGGGTACACACCGCGTACTATGACAGCATACACAGGGAACTATCACACCACAACATCCAGCACAGCCATGCGATTGTGATCCGACCACGGTTCGACCTCCCCTCTCCCGCTCAGTTACATCCAGCCTTAGTCCGCCTTAGTTATTACAGCTGCTACCTTTCTCGACCTTCTGAGGATAGAGTGAGTAAGAACTGCACACTAAGGACAGGCACAGGATTCCGACTGCAGCGAACGACCGAGCCTACGCCTAATCTCACACCAAGGTCCTACTACGGTTCCTTACGGCCCCAACTACTGGGAACTAAGGAAACTACTACAATATCTAAGGTGAACAACAGTAGGCTGGAACCACTAAGGTAAACGAGGATCAGTACACAGCCCGACATACTACCAGAGGACATTTGCGACTCGAGCATCTTCGCGGCCTCTCTATCCACTGCTGGCGGATACTCCGCCCACGTTCAGAGCTTGCGCCCCGAGGGCGCACGACCAGAGCTGCGATGGCGGCGCAGGCGAACATGGAGAAGGGGGAGATGGCGCAGCAGCCAGTTGCAGACGAAGCCGAGCTCCTGCAGCCAACGATAGTGCAGAAGCCGCACGACAGAGGAGGCTCGGGAGGAGTGGCTGATCAGGTCGTGGGCACGGCGGCGTACAGACTGGAGATCGCGCACAACACACTCCAGAGCACCGCCGTCGCGTTCAAGGTGGCGACCGAGCACAGCGAGAAGGCCCTCCACGCTCTCCACAAGCAGAGAGAGAAGGTGGTGACCACACTAGGCCGCATGAACACAAGGAGCCTCAATCCACATGAAGAAGCAGAGCGTAGCCAAGCGAAGCACTACCTCAAGGAGCAGCTCCACGACATCAACGGCGCCATCAGTGCGGTGAGGAGCGCTATCGGCATCACTGACGACAAGCTCGGCAAAATGATGCACGGCCCGATGCCATGGGAGCTGGACTACACGAGGCGCCAGGTCGACGAGATCGACCACATTTACACGCGCTGGACCAAGGGCCCGCACGGCTACGCCTACGACGAGGCCTCCTTCGACACACAGACGGAGACGGTGGTGGAGCCGCAGATGGAGATCAAGGACTTTCTCCAGCCCGCTCGCAGGCCGCCGTGCACCAGCCCGAGCAAGAGCGTGGAGGGCTGGGAGAACCGCGGCAAGGTGTTGTGCAGTGAGGCCAGCTCCAGCTCCCCAGCCGCCGCCACAGCGGCCACTAAGGCCGACGGCGCTGCTCAGAGCAGGGACGTGAGGCTCTCATCGCCAAGGGCAGCAGCAGCGGCAGGCTGGGGCATAGGGCAGTAGAGAGCAGAATGCATTAGGCCTGGCTCTCCCTTTTTTTTTCCCCCCACTCCTGCAGCGGGGGCTCGGCAGCAAAGCACTCACCGCATGGGCCAGTGCGGCCATGCATTCATACCAGCCGAGAGACGTCAGGGAGACGTACCAGGCCGCCCTTTCTCCTTTTTTTGCCTCTCTCTGTCGTCTGGGGAGTGGGGGAGTGGGGGGAGTTTGGGGAGCGGAGGTGGGTGGGCTCTCAGCGGCGGGGGGTGCGCCCAAAGAGAGGCAGCTCCCCTCCGCCTGCAGCAGTTCAAAGGCCGATACCGAGGCAGGGTCTCCCTGCTAGCGAGGCTCGGGGACCACGCCCTTCAGAGGGGCGGGCCCCGTCGCCTCAGGCGGCCCCCCCAAAGCAAAGGGTGGGCTCGCATCCATTTCCCTCCCAGGGGTCGGCATGCCTGTCGGTAGGCGAAGTTGACAGACCCCCAAGGGCCTTATCCTTATCCTTATCCTCCTCCCTCCTCCTCCCTCCTCCTCCTCCCTCCTCCTCCTCCTCCTCCTCCTCCTCCCTCCTCCCTCCCCCTCCTCCTCCCCTCCTCCCTCCTCCCTCCTCCCTCCTCCTCCTCCTCCTCCTCCTCCTCCTCCTCCTCCTCCTCCTCCTGCTCCTCCTCCTCCTCCTCCAACCCGCGCCCGTCGCTGACCGGCCGGCCCGCGCCTCTCGCAGGCCGGCCGCGTGGAGAGCTGCCTTGCGGCCACCACCAGCGTGAGCTCCGACACCGGCGCGCCCGCCTCGGGCCGCCGGGAGGGGGGAGGTGCGACAGTCAACCCGTACCAGGGAGGTCTTCGTCGGAAAAATTAGGGAACGTTGAGCCCCACTGAGGGGCTGTTACGTCGGCTTCGGCCGCGGACGAAGCAGGATTTAGGGGGATTAAGCCGGATTTAGCGGAATTGCAGGATTCAACAGGATTGAGGCGGATTTCGGACCAGGACAAAGTCAGAATTTGACCTCCTGGGAGTTGCATCTTCCATACAACAAGATGGGAGCCTCAGAGGCTCAGAGGTACGACGAAGCCAGGACGAGGACAAATTCAGGCGAAGAGAAGTCGAGAATCTCCGAGATCTGGCGGCTCTGGAGCATGTATCGGGCGCCGCGGCCTTCTCGGAACGCTCCGGAACGCTATGAGAGCGTTCAGGAACGCGCTGGAGCGGACTCGTCCTCGTCCCGGTCCCGTCCGGCTCAGAGGGTCGTAAGTCCTTGCGGTTTCGGGGCGCCTCGTCCGGATTTCGTCGGAGTGGGTCGACACCTGGACGAAACCTATGGGCCAAAGGGTGCCGGTCGAAATCTGGACGAAACTGGGTCGAGAGCACGTTCATGATTAGAGGCCTCCTAGATGGGGTTTGGGTAGACGGGGTCGGAGGATCGTGCGAGATCGCCGATGCATCATCGATGCATCGGCGATGCACCGCCGTTGCATTGGCGATGCATTGGCGATGCGTCGTTGACGTCGGCGACGCACCTGCGACGTCGGCGTGCAGCAAGTCGGGCTCCACATCGAGCCGCATCGGCGATGCATCGGGGATGCGGCGCGATCCTCTGACCCCGTCTGTACTTACTTACCCCGACCCCATCCAGCCGGCGTGGAAAATCCGTCTGTCTGTCTGTCTGTCTGTCTGTCTGTCTGTCTGTCTGTCTGTCTGTCATCCAGGAGGCCTATATTGACTACCTACCAGACCACCCCAACCCAACCCGAAGACCCGAATTTGACCACAATTTCGGGTTGGGGGGGGTACGGGTTCCATGTGTTTTTTCAGCGTTCCTCGACCCCCCCCCACTGGAAATGCTTCGGGTTGGGTTGGGGTGGTTTGGTGGGTGGTGATATGTAGAGCTCACGACAGGGCCGCGGAGGGCCACGGCGCTCCCTGAGATCCCCGCAGCTCCACTGCTGCGAGCCGGGTAGCTTCGCCCAGCTCCGGGCCCCTTCCGGGGCGGCCCTCCCAGGGCGGCCCGGCCCGAGGAGCGACGCGGGAACCGTGGGGCCCTGTCGGCGGCGAGCCCGAGTGGGAGGTGGTGAAGAGAAGGCCCGCTCAGGGTCCTGAGATCCTGGCGTCTCCATTTTTTCGAGCCAGATGCTTTCGCGCAGCTTCGAGCCCCTGGACCCTCACAGATGGATCCAGCTCGACAAATGACGCAGAAAGATAGGGTCCGGGGCGTCAATCGTGATTTTTCACGTTTCAATTTTTCCGAGACCTCGGATCTCAGGGAAGGCTCGAAGTCCCCCAGCCTTCCGAGAAGCCTTCTGAGCCCTCCCCGAAGACGCAGACCACGCCTCCAAGGCGCGAGGGCTTCTGAGAAGCCCCGCCGCCTTCTGATGAGAAGGCCTTCTCCTTCTCACGTCCACCCCGCGCGCGCCGCCGAAGATCGGTCAAAATTGGTCCCGGGACCCCTCCGAGGGGGCCATCCGATGCGGTTTCTCATCCCCGGTCGATTTTCGAGGGCCCCAGGGCCCGAAGACAGTCTCCGGAGGCCGAAAACGCTGAGAAAACGAAGTTCGAACCTGAAGTTCGAAAACCTCGAAGCGCGCCGCCGATCCCGGGCTCCGACAGAAAGAAATTCCCCATGGTGTTGCCATTGGTTCGCTACGCCGGATCTCCGGGGAGGGCCAGCGCCGCTCGGCCGCCGCCCCCGCGGTGGCCGCCTGTGGGGCAACGCTCGTCGGGGGGGGGGGGGAACCCGCCCGCGGGGGGAAACATCGGCCCGGAGTCGGCGATGCTCCGTCGATCGATGCGTCGCCGACCTGTCGGCGATGCATCGATCGATGCGGCGCCGACCTGTTGAGCGAGTACATGCGAATGCCCTCAGTCGGTTCAATGGAGCTTCGATTTGGCACGCCCGTGACGCGCTTCGGTGCCCATAGCGCACCAGAGGCTGCCAGCCAGCTTCTAGGACCGCCTGATGGCGCTGAGAAGTGTTGCACTGCACTGGAGTGGCGGTGAGAAAAGGTGCAAGTAGTGGTGCCGACCCTCGTCGACGCCATGCCCCGAATACCCACAAGTTGCAAAATCTGCATGCAACTTACCCCTGGGGTCCGCCGTGACTCCCGCTCGTCGGGCTCAATGACATTTATCGCCACAATTGGACTTCCCAGGGCGCCGCAAGACCCGATTAGGGTCCAAGGGGGATATATGGTAACAGAAAATCTCAGTGGGGCAACCATCGACATAGAGACATAAACGACGTGCCTACGTACTGCAGAATCCAACCTCCTCGAGTCGTGAAACATTGCGAAACAAATGTTCGGCCGTTCTCGGCCTCAAAATGGACCCTTGGTACCAGACCCAACGACAGTCAAAATATTCTGCGCGATTAAAAAGCCAGCCCAAAAGGAGGCGTCGGGACAACCGTGCCCAGACATCCACCGGTTCTGCCTCTTCGAAATATGGCCCCACAAGCCTCTCGAGATCTTTCATCCCGAGGGGGTGAAGAACCAGTCAGGGACCGTAACGAAAACAATATGCTACCAGTCTTGACGGTGCCAGGGCCCAGAACTGGCCCCCAGGAGCCAGAAACACATAAACAACCAACGTCCCGGAAACTTCAAGCCACCGGATGAGTGCTATCAACATGTCCGTCCTTGCTTTCAGATCAAAGCGAAGTGGCAGGAGAGCCATCGTACCTATTCGCATTCTGTCGGCGCAACATTCGGCCTGTGTCAGCTCTTCGTGCTCCAACCAAAGATGCAAGAGGTCGTGCGCGACAGATCGTACCTCTTCGCGCGCGCGCCCCCTTAAAAGGGTTCTCACCGCTGTCACGGTGGCAGCACCACGTCTGGGGGCCCTGAGAAGCGACGTAGCAAAACAAAACACACCATCAGGGAAAATCCCGGCCCGAGCCCCAGTCCTCATCCCTCCTGCTCCGTTCTCCGGGCCGGATCGATCTGGGCTGGTCCTGCAGCCCAAGACCACGCACAAACGCCCAGCTCGAAACAATCGAGATGCCAGGGTCCCAAGGAGGCTCCAGGCGCGGGGGCGGCGCCAGAGGCTCGCCCGCGGCCATGCCTGGGCGCGTACGCCGCTCGGCGCCGGTCGACCGTCGGCGTCCGCGTCGGCGTCAGCGTCGGCGTCGGCGTCGTCTTCGTCTTCCTCCTCCTCGTCCTCCTCCTCCTCCTCCTCCTCCTCCTCCTCCTCCTCGTCGACATGTCTGGTGACCAGAACGCGCGCTGATCT